CCAGTGCAAGGATTCCGTCTAACGATAAGCTCACAATTTGTGACAGAAGCTGAGATGAACGCACTTTGCAAAAAAGCAACTGTTATGGAGATTTGCATTATTATCAGCCAATCGGATTACAAGAGCCTGCGATGTCCGCACCTGAAAGAATTGAAATCTTGCAAAAAAGGTAGGGAACTTAGAAAAGGTTAAATTTAAATATTTTGTTGACTTGGAAAATACCAGACTTCCAACTCGCTATTGGTTTAAAATTAACTCAAAAAAATTCTAGTTAGAATAGTGGAGTAGCTGGTTATTTAAACATCAATAATATATTTCACTTAAGTTATTGAATGTTCCAGTAGTCCAAAATTAGTGCTTATATCATGATCTCGATTCCAGGAACACCTGCGCTTCAAATTCTTAACAACTTCTACTTTAACACCCTCTTTTTACCTCAATTCACTTATGCACAAGGAGCACCTATCTTTGAAGTGTCCGGAAATCCACATCTGCCTTCGAAAACAATAGAATGGCTCCAAAAAATCTGCCCGAAATGCAAGATTGACGCCGGCTATGGTGCGGTTTCGAAGTTCTTTGTTAGCCTTAAGCTATAAAACATAGGAAATTAAATGAAATCATCCCAGATTGTGGCCTCACTCGACCTTTTACTGTCCAACAGCTCGTCGCTGCATGTGCAGGCAAACTAATGATTCGACCTGCGCCAGGCCATTCTATTCAAATCAGTTCAAAGGATGTAAGCGAAGCAGAGATGAACGCATTCTGCTCCAAAGCAGTTTACATGGAAGTATGTATTGACATCACAAAGTCATCGTACAAACGCTTCACATGTCCACATTTGAAGGAACTAAGATCTTGTGCGCCAGGTAATACCGCTTTATTTTTCCAAGGTAGAAATCTAGAATGCTCCCCATTATAGGACGTCCGGCCATCACAGTCGTGAACAATGCTCACCTTGGAATCATAGAAATTCCTACGACTATTGTCATTCCTAGAGGGGTGGCATTATTCACCATTTATGGTAACCCTCTTATCTCCGAAACTGTGATCAGCAAATTCAGGAGGATTTGCAAGAACTGTCGCTTCCCTAAGAGCAATGGTATGATATTTAACCTTTTGAACACACCCTTAGTTGTAACCCTATCTTATTCCAGAGTGCGTTCTTCAACCGCGCTCCTACACCGACAAGGAATTAGTTGCCGCTTGCGCTGGAAAATCAAGAATTGCCCCACAACCAGGATTTTACCTCACGTTGTCCTCTAAGTTGGTAACGGAAGAAGAAATGAACGCGTTCTGCTCTAAAGCAACCTACATGGAGATTTGCATCGAGATTATTGACTCTTCTTTCACAAGCTTGCGATGTCCTCTATTGAAAGAGCTGAAATCTTGCCGACCAGGTAATGCCAACCTATCCT